CCCCCCCCCCCCCCCCCCCCCCCCCCCCCCCCCCCCCCCCCCCCCCCCCCCCCCCCCCCCCCCTCCCGTTCCCCATCCCCCCCCCGCCACCGTCACCCACCCACTCACCATCACCACCACCCGCCACCACCCACCATCCGCCACCACCACCACTACACCCACCTGCCACCACCACCCATTCGCTACCACCTACCACCCGCCACCACCCGCCATCCGTCACCCACCTGCCACCACCTGCCATCCGCCACCCACCTGCCACCACCACCCACCACCACCGCCACCACCCGCCATCCGTCACCCACCTGCCACCACCTACTCGCTACCACCTACCACCTGCCACCATCACCCATCCATCCACCACCACCACCACCACCACCCACTCGCTATCATTTTCCACCATCGTCTTCCGCCACCACCACCCGCTATCATTTTCCACCGCCATCTTCCGCCGCCACCACTCGTCTCCATCCACCACCTGTCACCACTTGTCATTTCTTACTCTTTTTTATATTTTAAATTTTTTTTAAACATTTTGTCTAAACCAAACACGTTTGTAATTTATTTTTTTCTAAAAATAAACAAAAACCAGTTTATAAAACTTTTGTAAATATAAATTGAAAACGTAAACATTACCAAACAGGCCCTTAGCTTTTCAAGTGGCTGGAAGGGAATTGCTTGAGCATTCCACCACTTGTGTCGCAATTAAATTTAAGGAAACTTACGTGTAGGTCTTAATAAGTAAATTTATTGTCCAATAGGTCCTGTGATAATTAATGATATTTTTCATGAAATACTCTTAAAAAATGTCACTAATTGTTAATTTTTAGAGACAATTTGAAAATTGTCACTAATTATAAGTTTTAGCGACAGTTTGAAAAAGTGTCACAAAGAAGTCGCTAATTTTTAACTTCCAACAACAATTTGAAAAAATTGCCACAAAAAAAATCACTAATTGTTAGTTTTAGAAAGAATTTACAAAAATCGTGAAAAAAAAATCATCAATTGTCAATTTTCAGCGACATATGCACAAAAATCACCACAAAAAATTATGTTTAGCGATGATTTTACTAGAATTTATTTTCAATAGAGCTTGATGGCAATTAAGTCAAACTATAACTATTAGGATCTAGTGATAGTTTTTTCTAAAATTAACTTGTTTATGAATCCTATCTGTTATGTTTGGATCTTAAATTTGCTTACAAACTATTTTTATAAAATAATTTGTTAAATTCTTCTTTTTTTTTTCTCTTTTGATTTTTTTTTTTTTTAAATCAGCTAATTTTTTTTTGATAACTTGGCTTGGTGGACCGATTAATTTGGGATCAATCCCACCATTTATTAGTAGAGATCCAATTAAAGTCGAAATAAAGCCCCATATAAATTGGCCTTAAAAAATTATTCAAACTTAAAAGATTTCGAATGTGAAACATTGAATGAGTACATCCCAAGCCAGGCCAACCCCTTGGATTTTTTATTTTTGTTTTTCCAACTAGTTAATGGTATTTGGTGTTGAGTAGTTGATTTGCAACTTTTTATAACATCAACAAATACAAATATATAAAAAGGTTTCTGCATATTTTTTAAATCCTTGGAAAAGTGAAAAATGGTTGGCAGCAAAGTCTTCCCAACATTTTTTAAATAATAAGTCTATGAACCCCATTTTAATTATTGTAAATTTACTTTGAATGTAAATGTATAGTTAAAATTAAATTTGTGTAGTATACGATCTTGTGTAAAATAATTTGAATCATAAAATGATAATTATGAATAATTTCTGAATTTAAGTTCGAGTTTATAATATTATTATTTTCTAAAAACTGCTGCAAGAAAACTTCCCATCAGTCTTTAAATTGAGTAAAAATTCTTGGCATTTTAGAAACTAAAAAAAAATAGAAAAAAAAAAAATCAGTAGCAAGATTCAGGTGCCAGAAAAAGTTTGCCAATGTTTATTTATTATGTTTATTTATTTAACAAATTTTGTTGCACGGTCCTAACATGGGAATTTGGATGGTAATGGTTGTTGTTGGAAACAGGTAAGATGGATAGGGAGCTTAATGTTGTGTTTGATTGGAGGATTTTCAAAGCGATTTGAAAAGAAAAAAGAAAAAAGTGTGTGAAATTAAGTGAAATGTATGTATATTTTATTCACATTTCACATTTCTAAATCTTCCAACCAAAGCCAGTGTAAAGAAACCAATAATTCTGATAATCCCTGGGGCCACGGTTATATTCACAATTGATATGATGATGTTTCTTCATCCTAACCTTGTTGCTTGGTGTGGTATTGTATTGAGCCCTTTGTGGTTCACTACTACTCTTTTCATATAATTGTAAGATGGTATTTTGTAAAACCATGATGGGCTATTATTATGAATAAAATTCAACTAAAGGGTTTCCAGGGCTCTTGTTTTTCATTTGTTCGTCCCTATCCTTTGGGCTAGGTTTTGTATCTCCTTTCCCTGTTTGGTTTCATGGAAAATATTTGTAACAATATAATAATAAAATATAAAGTAAATGGTGGGACAAATTCTTAATTTTAGATGATACTTTTATCTTTTTCTTGTCTCCTTGATTATTATTGAGCATATTTAAATGCTGAATTTTAGTTTTTTAAATTATTTAAGATTGATTGAAATGGTGAAGGAAATTTTTTTATTTAATTATTTTTCCTTTTCGTTATCTTGTATCATTTATAAGAATAAAAAAGAAACTAAGTAAATAAATTCACCTTTAAAAAGAGGTTTCTAGTTTTAGGGGTTTTCCCACATTGATCTTAATAATAGAAATTTATTTTGAAAAATACACCAATAAGAGCACCTTCCACTAGGAATTTCATATTAACGGTATACTTAACTAATAACAGGAGCCTACATGGCCTTACAAATAAGAAAATAATGAAGAAATGAGACGATAGTATTGAGTGGACACACAGCCACGTGATCGTCCTGACTCATAGAATAATTCCTACTAACTCTTAATGCGATGTTGTCATTAGTAGAGGAGGAGTGGGGTCCACAATTTTGTGGTAAGTCATAAAGAACAACATGGGCATGGTGTTTAGTGAAAGGTGAGGGGAAATAGAAAAAAAGTTGGGACTCTCTTTTTGGGAAACCACCACCACCCCCAATGTATTGTCGTTGACCAACTCTTTTTTTTTTTTCCCTCCTATCTCTAGCTGACATGTATTTGTAAGGATTGTGAAGGTAAAAAAAAAAATGAGGTATGTATCATTTCTGAGGGGATATAATAGAGAAATAAGACTATATTATTAGATGGACACACGACCACGTGATCATGCTAACCTATAGAATAATTTCTATTAACTCTTGAAGTTGTCCCACAATTTTGTATTGGGTTATAAGGAACCACAACGGCATGTTGTGTGTTGGATCATAGGAACCACAAGAGTATGGTGTTTGGCGATTGATGAGAGGCATTGGCAAGTGGTGCGCTGGACCGCCAAATAATTTTTCCTCATGACACATAAAACGTATTTGTAGGCATATATGGGTATAACACACTAGGTAATTTTAATAAATTCATAAAAATGATATTGGTTCCTTTTATTAGTGAAATCTAACCATTTTATTTGGGGTTTTTTTACTTCAGAATTGGCATACACAATGACAGTGATAGAAAAATGTGATGTGTATAGTTTTGGAGTATTGGCACTTGATCACATCTAGGAGAACTTATTTCAAGCCTAAAATCATCGGTTGATCAAAGATGTGTTAGAACTTGAAGATGTGTTAGATTGTGGTCTTTTGCCTCATTCTGGTCAAAAAATTGAAGATGACTGAATTCCATTGTGAAGCCAGCGCTGTGGTGCTTGTGTTGATCTGCAATCGCGACCTATCATGAATGCTGCATCTCAAGTGCTTGAAAAAAAGGTTGGTGATCATTGTGTGCTGAGCAAGAACAATCAAGCTTGGGCACAGTATATTTTAAATTTAATTAATTAAAAATGTGTAATTTTGTAATATGTGATAATTGTATGTTTGAACTATGTTGATTATTTACTTTTTATCTTATGCTTTGAGAGGAATTATTTTTCAATAAAATTTTGGATAATAAAGGAATAAATTTATAGATCTATTAAAATCAAGTCTGCAAATGGTCTTTAATCAAGGAGATTTTTTTTCACTTTTTTAATTTTTTATTTCATTTTATAAAAAAATTTAATCAAGGAATTAATTAACGGAAAATTGTGTTTTAATGGCAACACTTCAAAAAGTGATAGTTGTGTGACAATTTTCATTTGTATCCGGTAAAGATCATTTTGAATTTCTATAAAAAATTATGATTATTTTAAATTACTTCTGATTACCCAATAATAAAGTTGGTGGATCCACACTAATCTCTATCATTCCCCTTCAAATTGAACTACTTTCTCTATTTTAGTTTGAAATCAGAGTTATTTTTAGAAAACATAATTTACTTTAAAGGCGAAAATCCAAAGTCTTCAAATGATATTTTTGAAGTGGTTAATTATGAAATTGATAGTGACAAGTGATCAAGTATTCTCAAGGCTCTCCGTCTCCTATCTTAAAATATTTATAATTATTAGATCATTGAAAATTTTAGAATGTAATAATCTTACGACATAATCGATGAATGTAAATGTTACAAATTAAAATGGGCCTAACAGGCCTTGAAACATCTTATCGTCTTCTTCTTCTTTCTTCCAATATTGAAATTCAGCTCCAAGTGGTAGTTGTCCTGAATTCAAAAATGAAGGAATTAATTTGTTTTTTGGACTTTTTTCTGCACTGATAAGTCCAAGTCCACGTCCACACATGACCAGTTGGCTTGCTTGTGGCCCAAACGCATATTATAAGTTGAAAATTTTGATTTTCTTTGCTGTGAAACGCGTTAAATTGACTGAAAACGAAAGGCAACTACACTTGGGTTGGGGGTTATATAAACTGGGGGGTTAAACACCCATTCTGAATCATTGAAAAACAAAAATGAATTTGAGGAAGTTGGTTGTTTTTTGTAATGTTCTCTTGATTTTTATCATTTTTTTAGCTTTTCAAGTGGCTGCAAGGGAATTACTTGAGCATTCCACCACTCGTGTCACAGGTAAATTTGACATGGTCCATGAATCTTAAATGTTAGGTTTGGATCTCAAATTCATTTACAAATTATTTTTATAAAATAATTTGTTAATTTCTTCTATCTTCTTTTCTTTCTCTTCTATTTTTTTATAAGTTTTTTTAAATAATTTTTTTAATAACTCAGTATTCATCATACTTGACCGATTAATTTGGAAGGCCAATTCTACCATCTACTAGTGGAGGCCCAATTAAAGTTAGAATATATTCTCATATGGACTAGTCTTAAAAAATATTTGTACGTAGAAGGTTTCGAATCTAAGACCTTGGAGGGACCCAAACCAGGCCAGACCCTTTTGTGTTTTATTTATTTATTTATTTTTCCAGCTAGTTAATGGTATAGGAGTTGAATATTTGATGTGCAACTTTTTATAACATCAAGAAATACAAAAGATTTGTAAAAAGGTTTCGGCATCATTTTTTAAAGGGGAAATTGTTTGTCAATAGTTAGCAGAAAAATTTTTCAAATTAATGATTCTTTATAAATATTAATATGTAATATTATATATTTTTCATCATTTTATAATTAAAATTTGAAAATATCACGAAAAAGTAATTTTCCTCTTCTTTTTTTTTTTTTTAAATCCTCAAAAAAGTGAAAAAAAATATGGGTTGCAGCAAAAGTCTTCCCAGCATTTTTGTGAAAAATAGTGCAGGAAGAGTTCCCATCACTCCTTAACTCGAGTGAAAATTCTTGGTGTGTTAGAAACTCAAAAAATCAGTAGCATGATTCGGCAGGAGTTTGCCAATGTTTATTTATTATATTTTCATTCATCTCTGATATGGCATATTGTAAACTTTTATGTCACTTGAAAAACTTGAGTGTCGCTTATATAAAAATAAAAAATAAAAAGTCTAGAATAAAATTTTTGACAATTTTTTTTTGCGAAGTCCTAACATGGGAATTTGGATGGCAATGGTTGTTGTTGGAAACAGGTAAGATGGATAGGGAGTTCAAACAAACCAATAATGCTGATAATCCCTGGGGCCACGGTTATATTCACAATTGAAGATGATGTTGTTTCATCCTAATCTTACCGTTTGGTGTGGTATTGAGTCCTTTGTGGTTCACTACTACTCTTTTCAAATAATTGTAAGATGGTACGTTGTAAAACCATGATGGGTTAATAAAATTCAACTCAAGGGTTTCCAAGGCTCTTGTTTTTAATTTGTTTGTCCCCATCCTTTGGGCTAGGTTTTGTGTTTCCTTTCCCTGTTTGGTTTTATGGAAAATATTTGTAACAATATAATAATAAAATATAAAGTAAATGGTGGGAGAAATTCTTAATTTTAGATAGTACTTTTATCTTTTCCTTGTCTCCTTGATTATCACAGAGCATATCTATATATGCTAAATTTTAGTTTTAAAATTATTTTTAACTAAGAATGAAATGATGCAGGATTTTTTTTTTTTTTTTTTAACTTTTCATTTTCTTTTATCATTTCTAGGAATAAAAAAGAAATGAAAAATTACGACGGTAGTCCTTGTGTATTGATCTGTGCGCCATTTTATTCTCTACAATTTCAATTGGCTCAATTTTGACCTTAAATTTATAATTTTGTCTTAATTTGATCCAATTGGTTCCACCGCTTAGCATTTTTTTTATGAAAAATATGAACATAAGTATCATGTGCCGTATTTTTAAGGGCATGTTATAAACTTATCAAACTCAATATACTAACCTCAACTAATTTAGTAATAATTTTTCTTAAAATACACTAATGATATTATCAATTGGACCAAAATGATGCAAAATTTAAAATTATGGGTCAAAATCGAGTCAATTGAAAGTGTAGGAAACAAAAAGACGCAAGAGATAAAATATAGAGACCACCGGTGTAATTTGCCCAAAAAAAAAAAACTACGTAAATAAATTCAACTTTAAAAATAAGTTTTTAGTTTTAGAGGATTTCTGACATAGATCTTAATAATAGAAATTTATTTTGAAAAAATTCACGGATAAGAGTACCCTACACTAACGAGGAGTTATCATATATTTTAGAAATTTCAAGTTGGTGATATATCCAACCAATAATAGAAAACTAATGAATTACATGATTCTAGAAATAATAAAATAATAGAAAAATTTGATGATATTATTGGATGGGCATAAGGCCTCGTCCTGACCCATAGAATAATTCCTACTAATTCTTGAAGTCGTGTTGACATTAGTAGAGGGGAGGAACACGCAATTTTGTATTGAGGCATAGGAAACAATAGGGGCATGGTGCTTGGTGATGGGAAATGATGGAGAAATAAGATGATATTGTTTGGTGATTGGCAAGACATATTGGCAGGTGATGTCCTGGACTATCAAATAATTTAGGCGTAAAACGTATTTGCTTTCAAATTATTACAAAACATTAAAATGCAATAACTTTTGGTTTAGATTTTTTTCTTCTTTGAATTATTACAAAACATTCAATTGTACCGTCCTTAAAAATCCAATGTATAATTTAAATATAATTTTTGTAAATCGCTTTTTTTTTTCCCTCTCTTTAATGCTCTTAAAATCTGTTCACATGCCCATCCTGTGAAGCACTTTCTATCAATTATTTTAAATGATGAGTGATGAAAGAATTATATTAAAAGAATAACTAATGTTTGAGAATTTAATTGCTACAATTAAAAAATAAAAGACTAAAGTGGCTATTGAAATTATTAACAAAATTATAATAAAATATACCTATAGTCACTAAATTATGCGTCTGTATCAATTTAATCATCAAAATTTTCAATTTTATCACTTTAAGTCCTTAACGATGATGAAGAATACAAGACATAGCCTAAGAGTGTTTCCTCTTGGTAAAGTGATAAAATTATACATTGTGAACAGAACTCTCACACGCGCGCGCGCGCGTGAGTGTCGAATTAGGACCCGTTTGGGAGGTTGACTATTTTAAGAGTTGTTTGGTTTTTGTGTTAGGTTAAAAAATCACAAAAGGACAAAAAAAAAAAAAAAAAAGTAAAAAAATCACAAAAAAAAAAAAATCAAAAAAAGACAAAAAAATAATTATAGTAGCCTAGCCATTGTCAATAAGTCCGGTCCGACAGAACACAAGTGGTAAATGACAATTTCGCCACTTTAGACTAATTTTGAGGCCCAGATCTGACCGGTTCAGATTGATGAGTTATTTTTTTGTGTGTAAAATTAATTTTTTAATATTTTTTTTTGATAAATAGTGATAACTTTTTAACTTTTTGAGTAATTTTTTGACTTTTTGTCTTTTTTAAGACATGCCTATTTACAAATCTGCCACTGTGCACAAGAATCCGTGTAGGTGTTCGAGTGTTCGAACCGTAATGCTTGAGAAATGGTAAGCAAACGCCGTATTTACATATCTGCCACTATGCAGGAGAATCCATATAGGTGTTCGAGTGTTCGAACAGTAATGCGCAAGAAATGG